TGGATTTCCGAGGCGCATTCGACTCGGTTGATCGGTCTGTTCTTCTTGAGACGCTTGCCCACCAAGGAATGCCTCGGAAGTTTGTAAACATAAAACGTTCTTTGTATTATCGGAATTCCGGACGTGAGAGTATACGGAGAGCTCTCCAAAAGCTTCCGTACACAAAGCGGTGTCCGTCAGGGATGCCCACTCTCTCCATTCCTTTTGTGATCGATGAAATAATGAGACGAATGCTGGAGGGTCTCCAAAACCCTGGTGTTCAAATAGCCTGTGAAGAAAACCTTGTCGATCTGGAATATGCAGACGACATCGTTCTCATGTTTGAAAAGGCGGAGAAGGCGCAAGTATTGGATGAACTGACCGTTGATATGCACTTTGCACCCACAAAGTGTAAGGTCATGCTTGTGGACGTACAGTCACTGACACGCCACTTACAATCCAGGGAAAGGTGCTGGAAGTTGTGGAGCGTTTTACGTATCGTCGAGGTTTTATTGGTTCTGATTGTATTGTGACTGACGAGATCAATGCACGAACCTGGAAGGCTCGGGTCGCGTTTGCTAATTTGAGACACCTATGGCGTCAAAGTGTGGTATCCCTGAATCTCAAAGGACGTGTGTATCAGGCTGCAGTGCGGCTGTTTTGGTGTATGACTGCGAGACTTGGCTTGTTCGAGCAGCGGTACTGAGACGTCTTCAGATGTTCGACAATCGTTGTCTCAGTATCATAGCTCCTGTGGGTTGTTGTCGGCTAATCCGTAATGAGGCAATAAAAAGCGAGTTTCTGGTTGTGCAACGCAGCACCAGAAGCTGCTTTGGTTAGGACATGTATTGCGTGCGCCGATGAGATTCCTGTTTTCCGTGCCCAATTCAAAATAGCAAAAGCAGAGAGGTGACCAACCCTTGATTGAGCAGAGGGATATGAAGGAGATTACGGAGCGTTTGGGTCAGGGGATCCTCTACATAACTTTTACATGAGCCTAATGCAGTTGTATACGTTTGTATTCCACGGGGGGTTGCAGTATGTTCGTGCGTAAAATCTGTTAACTGTTGAAAGAGTTGCATCACTGATTTTGATGCTTTACCACTCCCTAAACCAGACATGCTTGCCATCGCTGGTCTCCCTGCGTTTCCACCGGATCTTCCGTTGAGCTTCATTTTCAGTCAACCCCATCCAACGAACCTAGCCCAAGCCAACTGTTCCCTCTTCTCACCTGTTTCCGATCGCAATAATCAGTATTGTTACTTTTATGACATTCCCACTGGTGCAAACCTCTCTCCAGGCCGCTATTTATTGGCTACTGCAATGTGTGACATTGTTGAAACCTACTTATCCCTCCGCAGGAAATAGTCTCCGTCACTACTTGCATTCTTGTTTTCTTCAGCTTCGTCGAACATTCTAGACGGAAACACGTTAACTTCTTTGTTTTCTTAGATATCATGCCGCAGGCTGCAAATTTGAAGCGGACATTTTCACTTTTATTGGACTCCACAGTTAAGCTTGACTTCCTTTTGCCCAATGGAATCATCTTGCCGTTGGAGGTGAGTTCGTTAGGTTTTGTTTCCTGTCAGTCGTAGCCCACGTGTTGGATTACATTAATGATGTGTTCTGGCATAAACACGAAGACCATGGAACGGTGTCTTCATTGGGTACCTAATTTAGTGGACTAATTTACTTTGTCCGAGGGGACATCTACACCCAAATTTCATGTGCACATATCACACTAAATGACTGCGCGCAGATATGAAGCTTCTGAAAAGGATGTTAAGAAGAGGTGCATCTTTTCCCTGTTGGCTGCGCTGCACTTCACGGTGACGAACATGTACACTAGTCATACCCTTGCATAATACAAAATTAGTTTCATTCATCGTAAAGACGTAAACAGCCTGATTTTAGGCCTAAGAATTGCTTTGCTAATTTGTGTCGTAACATGATAACAACATAGGGGCGAGATGGTAAGAGCACGAATTTGCTGGCTGGAAGTTTCGTGGTTCGAACCCGACCTTTTCCTCTTAACTTTCTTTGTCTAGGCTTGGGCAACCTGACAGTATCCTAGCCCTCGTGCTTTTTTTCCGCTGACATGGCTTTAGGCGCCGAAAGGGTGCTACAGATGAGCTATATTAATAATAACACAATTATTTGAAAGTTATACCGTATCCACTTCTTTTAGTTGACCGATGCTTAGTTGACATTTGCCTGGACCGGCCATGGTGCCCCCGGAGAATACGGATGTGTGTGTGTGTGTGTGTGTGTATTCCACTATGGGTATTCAAGATGTGTAGCTGAAGTAATGGTAGCGCAGTTCATCGTTGATCCAACAATTTAGGCATCAGCGGATTGAAGTTACCAAGCCAAGCAAGTCATTTCAGGTCATGTACTCGCACGTATATGTGGCATGTTTAAGCGTCAAGCGCGCAAGAACAATTGGTCACTTTCAGCCAAACGTGGCCGGGGATCATCTTTCATCGGACCCATGTTGGTGTCGACTGCCTTCATCAACTCTTTCTCATGTCGGACAAGTGATCTTTGGTAGAAAGTGGGGGTGCAGCTTTTGCCGAAATTTTATGGTTTCTATGGAGGGTATGGTGTTTTTCCCCACCAACCTAGTACCAGCATCCCCAAGATCCCATCGGTAGTGGTCCTGTCTAGGAGGGGCCTATTGCGGGAACCTTATTGCTACCTTATTCCAATCTCATCATGTCTGCGTGGTATTTCCTAAACTAAACTCATCCAACCATAAACTCTTGGTTGACTGCTACACCACCATATAGAAATCTGAGGCTTCTCATCCTCCTGGTGATTCCTGAGACGTCTGAAAATTTCTCCACTGTTCTAAAAATATAGTGCTTTTATTTTTATTTTGAAGATTATGCATTATTCCCTTCTGGGATTGGGTATCTTGTTAACACCCGGGTCGCATGGCAACCATACACCCTGGGGAAAATAGCTGAATGAATTGATTCCTTCGGCAATGAAGTTTTTCTCATTTTTCCCACCCACCTTCCAGTTGGATTCAGATCTGTCTCTTTACGAAGCGAAAGATGAACTCTGGCTGATGGCCGCCAAACAGCCGTTGTTTCGCGTGCTCCAACCGAAAGAACACTACATTTTCTCTGGCATAAATAGTGAAACGGCAGACACCGAGGAGTTCTATGATCAATCTCTGCGGTTACGCGAACTGCCTCTGTTGTTGCCCTATTTGCTTGTGACTGAGGCTGCTCGGGACAGCACTTTGTTGGAAGAGAATATGCAAAACTCCGCGATCTCTAAGTAAGCCGGGGTTCTTCGGGTACTCCGCCCATCTGTTTTAAGTTAAGTCAAATTGGAAGGAACACCCTTCTGTTGTTACCGATCCTCATTCTCAACAGCAGTGAGAGCATCACTGATTTCGATTTTCACAACTATGGTTTTCTTCAAGGAACTCGTTGTGTGGCGGTTCTAACAAGAAAGTTAGCACTTAGCGTTGGTCTGCCGCAGGACGCTACAAGATGCTTTCTTTTGTTCAAACGATCTATTAATTTGCAGAGTATGATCCCATAAATCTACAGTGATTTCATTCAGATGATGACCCCTTCGGCTCGAGCGTGTATAGTTTGTGAAGATCTATATTTATCCTACAAATTGGCAATGTTCCATCGTTGTCTACCATGTGTGTTGAGCAATACTGCCTCCCCCGAAGGTGTGGACTATTGTGAGTACATATTACCTTCTAGTTTCCAAAGTTACCTCCATGTTGTTCGTTAGCGTTGTTCCTGTTTGTCGCGAGACGACGACTCCGTCGATCAACATATCGTGTCTCTGGACGTGAAGCCCGGGAAGGAAGTGAATTCAGCTGAAACACCGTCAGCATACTGGGCTAAGCAACAACAAAGAAATAAGGTGAATTTTTATGGAGGTGGCACCTCATTGATTGGCTAGTAAACAGGCGCACCGATATCCGCCCAATCTAACTGAGGACGAAGGAAATCCAGAGCCGTCAAACTCTAAGCTGTAGTAGGAACCAAGGGGGAATCCAGAAGAACCACAACAAAAGACGTCCAAATTAAAATGGCAAATCAATTGAACCGGAATGTGCAGCTCTCCTCAAGGATCAACAAGTCTGAAAACCAAATGGGCCGAAATAATTGGAACTCTGCAGGGAGGAGTTGTAAACACCCGCAGATCAGGCCAAACGAAGATAAACTGCAGGTTGGAATGGATTACTCGGGATGGAGACAGTAGGCTACTAGGAATGAGAGGTATACATTCGATCCATCAAACAACAGGAAAGCGCAACGACGGTGCAGGAATGGGCCAATCGAGTTCCGAGTGAGATGACCTGATGATGAAATGATGGTTCTACTGAAACGTACTTTCGATGCATGGCTGCTCTGCCACCCGCAGGAAGCACAAGGGCTGAGATGAATTATGAGCAGCCAGTCAGATTGGCGCTTTAAGGCGCTTTCAATTTGTCAGCTATAAACCATGTACCGTAGGCACATTGATTCCAACTTCTACTATTTCGACCACCGGAAAATGGGATAACGTAGGACATACAACCTGGCGATGACATGTTCAGTTTGTTCGGAGATTGGGTAGCTACGCATTGAAGGCGACAGCTTTAATCCATGAGCGCCATTGACTGCTCGACTGGGCCACCACCTAGTCTACTACGCCCTGATGATGTCTCCTCGAATGGTAACGAATCGTTTTCTAGTCAGTTTCCTAACTCGGCGAACAGATCAACAGTCAGTTGACGAAATGCGAGTGAATGCGACGGAGATACCACTTTTAGCATTATTTCCCGGACTCACATCTTCCACTGGGTCCCCAAGCACTCGATCGATTACCCTTAAGCCTAAGTTCTTCCGCTTGTGTATCCTTCCGGCGCGCGTGGATTTCTGTTGAGACAAAGTTTATCAACATCAGTCAGTTGACCACTATTTTTCCGTCACTTCCGCTCTCTTCTTGATAAGGGGCTCGTGAAGAAAACTCTTTCTCGCGAAGGTGAAAATGTAAATATAGGTGGAACTTTAGTGGAGTTAGTTTGATATTTTGGCCAATTGGGTGCTTAAAAGAATCTCGTACAAGGAACCAAACTGGCCATAGATGGTCTGTGGTACCCTGGCAACAAAACGCTTTGAATTTCGGTCAAATGTCAGCCATATGCCTTAGGAAGCCCGTTGCACTTACTTTTGTTCGATGTTGTAAGGTAACATACTAAATACTCACTGGCATCCAAGAATCTTCTAATGAGGAACTCAGCTTTGTAAGGTTGTGTTCTCAATCGGCGAAGGTCATCCAATCACCCATCTGAAAAATAGGCACTCACAAGCTTCTGTACAGTTTCCGGATTTAAATGTTATACCATTGGGGAAGAACTTGCTGATGCCTTCATCCTCGGAATGGACGCTTCCAAATTCTGTATGGTGTTTGGTATGGTTAAATGAAAGTTATTTCGTGTAGCGGGACTAAACTATTATCATATGCCTTCCTGTTGTTTGTTCCTTCCAGTTGCACAGGTATATCACATGACGATATTGTCCGCGCCAGTGAATTGAATCCTGAGGTCAAATGGACCCGCGTTCGATTCCACCGTCTAGCTAATATGCATCGCAAGCTCCTCCAGGACAGTGGTCCAAGTGGTCTAGCTCAGTACTTGACTGCGACAGCTCAGAGGGCGGTAAGCCGATCACTGCAAGTTATGCTGGACCAAATGGGAGCTCTAACCGTTTCTGCTTGGATCCTGGACAGCAAGGACCAGACCAACGAAAGCAAAGTTGTTGTCGAGTTAGGTATAGGAGCAACCGTCCAAGATGCATTAACTCGTTTGCTGGAACTTCAGACCGAACTGGCCGATATTAACTATAAGCGTCGGAGCACTTGCTCACAGCTGACAATGAGGTCCGACTGGAACTGTGTCAAACCCCCTGATGTGTCAGCATATTTACTCAAAATCTGTTGTTCACAAGCATACCTGTTTGACATGTCGGCTCCGCTGGTGTCGTTCGAATACGTACAGCAATGTTTGGAAGAAGGTCGGCACCCGTGCCTCAGCCCAGTTTTACGCAAAGACGTGTGTGAAAATTTAGTTCGCTGTTTGGGTATCAGTAGTTCAACCAGTATAGAGGAGAAATCCTACAGAAACGGTACTCTGTCTGGACCTCGGGGTCTATTTCGTATGCGTGACAAATGGAAATCAGAAACTGATGGTCCCTCGACTCGGAAGCGTGATGACGTGCTTCGCGACTGTTCACCCTATAAACAACTGGAAAAGCTCGCTCAAACTCCGCATGATCAAATAGAGCAAGATGCCTTGAGTGGGAAGGATTTGGGCGAGTTAGGACCAGAACCAGTCTCATCGCTATGGCAACTCGGTTACTTGTGTGTAGAAGTGCGTTCTGCGAAATTCCTTGCAGAAGCTGCTTACCTTTCAGCTACTCAATCGACACCTAGCACTCCTGTGCTCGCTTCGCCAGCTGCAGCGTCCCTGCTTGCTGCAGCTGGTTCATACGTTGTTCGGGTTGGGCTATTTCATGGCAGTCAAACTCTTATCGAATCCAAAGTAAGTTAGTGAGAACACAGTTTTTTATTGATTCATTAACAGTTTTTACCCCATGCAGCCTATTTTCATTTTACATTTGCCGGTTCGGACCCAGTAACAACTGATAATGTCTACTACCGTCTGTATCACAGTAAACTGAATTTAGTCTTCAGATGGACTGCTCTTCTGAGCCTTAAGATAGTTTGCCAATTCTTCTTCTTGGGCGAGACGGCCCAAGTGGCTAGAGCGCGAATTTACTGACCGGAAGGTCCGTGGTTCGAATCCGACCTCCGCCACTCGACTTCTCCTGTCTAGGCTTGGGCGACCTGGCAGTATCCTAGCCCTCGTGCTTCCTTCGGGTGGCATGGCAGGTAGGCACCGGAAGAGTGCTACAGCTGAACGCTTTCTTTCTGAGTCAAGTATAATGCGATATTGTCTTCGGTTATTCCGCTGACTGGTTGACTACACGCTATCGGACATTACAAGGATCGACCAAACATCCTCCATTAGGTGTTTCTGTCCCAAGGACTACGAACAGCACTTGTTTCCTCCTTATCCTCCCTATACACGGCAAACAAATTATAACGGCTAGGGCCACTGTAGGCAATTTCTAGTTAAAATGAATTGAGGTTCACCCTTGGCACGGTGTCTGATCTAGTTTAGTACCAGGCCTAATATCCGTTGTTTGAACGCGTGGTCGACTTTCTAATAAACATTGCTAAACCTTTTGTTGTCTCGCTGTTTCCTCCTCAGACGACTATGCAAATGCCAAGTACCCATTTAACTTGGAACAAGGCACTTAATTTCCGTATTCGTCTCGCAGACGTACCACCAACTGCTCGTCTTTGTGTCGCATTAATCAGGTTAGATGAGGGATCTCGTTCCGGAAACACAGTGAGTTGTAGTTAATGTTTGTCCGTAGTTTGCTTAGTTCCATCCACCTGGCATACTTTCTATTACCCTTATAAAATTCTGACTTAGGAACTGGTTGTTATGCTCCTTTATAAAACTTACTTTCGCTGGTTGCGCGTCCCTATTTGATCCTTTGAAGTGTTTCCTCCATTCTTTCAAGTACTTCCGCGTGTGTCCTGAATCTCTGGTGCTTTTTAGTCCGACTGGTTTTCAACTTGGACAGTAGCCGAGTTTCTATCACCTTGAAAATAGAAGCGGCCAATTGTGGATACATCCGAAGTCTGGAAGTTCACGCTCCATTTCCATGTGTGCAGTCGCTTGAATTTGTTGGGCTATCTCCATCGGCTTCTTGTCGCACAACCACAATAGTTTGTCTGAGAGAAGCACTTTTCTTAAAAAATCTACTATGGTGACAAAAGTAACGTAGTGCCAAACCACCACACAAACTCCAGTGCGTTACTACCTGAATTTTATATGCGGCTGCTCGCTTTTGATTTTAGATACAATCTGTCATCAAATCCTTCCCCTCACTTTATCTTTACCTTGCCTAGCACATCCTTGAGTTTCTAATCCTAGATTTATCGTGATGTGTCTAATATTTTCCTTTAGTTTACGAAATAGGTGACCATTTTCGCTCCTACATCAGACCTGTCATCCACAATGCGCAGGTTGGCCTAACGCATAAACCCATGGGAACTAGAAATCTCTGTCCGCTCCTTTTCTCTAATTCTGCACTCCATAACTATACCTGTCGAAACTTGAGTTCTCGCTTTATTTTGCAAGCACCAGTGGTGATCGATAACGTTTCCAAACGACTGGTGGTCATTTTCGCGAATTTAACCTCTGTTATCGTTTACTTCGGTCCTTTAATCATCCGTTTTGCCTTCAATTTAACTCCTATTTGGAGAAGCAGGCCTCAGCCTATGCCATCTTAGCCTTGGGAGTATTTCAGCCCTCGTGCTTCCGTCTGGTGGCATGGCAGGCAGCATTATTATTATTTATTATGGCTTCCGAACTTAAAATAATGGAAACCACTGATTGTGCAAAACTGTATTATCTTTTCTCTGCTTCCCATCGGTTCATACGCCGCTTTATTCATCGTCCTCAAGACTGAGTATCCAGTCGGTTGGGCGAACCTGAATTTCTTCAATTACCTTGGGATCATGCGGTCCGGTGAGGTCACGTTGCGCCTGTGGCCGGCTTCTCTGCTACAATCTACTGACGAACGTTTCAGTCGTCTTCACCCTGCGGGTACGGTGCTTGAGAACCCAAATCCAGATTTTGTCCTCCAGGTAGATGCTTGTACTTATTCGTGCGTTTGTTTAGACGTTGACGTTTTTCCGGACTAAAACTAAGTGCCAAGGATATGTTAGCCTCTCGATCACCCCTGTTCAATTAGTTGGTATGTAATCGCTGTGCGACTGTATACAGCAGTTTTGGTGCAACGATTCTTCGTATAAGAGACACTCTTCGATTTGTGGTTAGCATTATGTTCTTGCCACTGAGCGTCATGGATCGCTGTGCTGTATCTACGACCGCTAGTAGCCGTAGTTGCTAGTGTGGGCAACTGACACACGTGTTCACCGAGAACGTGAGCAAGACAGAAAATGATTGACGGTATTGCCGTGGCCTTGCCGAAATCATCAATACATTTCGAACCAAAGTTGCGCCGATTCCTATTCATGAATCCGTTGAGCCGGTACCGATTCAGCTCAATTCATAAAACCTTGAACGGTATTTTTTCTAGTCGGAACACACTACTCGTAAGGCTGCTAAAAAACTCTGACAGCCCACAACCGGATTCACCCTTCTTGTTGGGGCTCATAAGGTAGGTGCGGGCTTCAAATTTCCGTCAAGCTCATGTCCTACTGGAACCCCAATTGTATGCAGCATTACATTAATAATGATGTAACTGGTAATGGTGTTCCTATGCTGCCACACGGCCATGTTGAAGAATCAATCCGCCCAACTCCATCACTGGCGCGCGCCGTTTGGTTTCGTTTCACGTATGGCAACAGATATAACCAAACTGCGAATCCGCCAACACAGTAACTGAGCTGTCACTCCGCTTACCTACCCCACCAGTGCTTTTATTAGATGGACAAGGGTCAAGCGTCGTTGGAACCTGACGCATAAGCCGAGTACAGTATACGCTCGTCATACTGGCATTCATGGACCGCATCTCTATTATACAGTCGGTCGTTGTTTGTCACCTCAATTGGACCCATTCAGTCAGAAACCGCATTTAGTGCTTGCCAGTGGCTTGAGATAGCTCGGTTTTTAAGGTGCCAACCTAGTGACCGGAAGGGTTCGAACCAACCTCAGCACCTCGATTGTTCTTTGGGCAACCTGATAGTATCTCGGCCCTTGTGTTCCCTTCAGGTGGTGTGACAGCTAGGCACGGAAAGGAGGTTACTGCTAAATTATTATTATTATTATTATTATTATTATTATTATTATTATTATGGTGCAGGTAGCTATTTAAAAGCACATTTGTAAGGTGATGCTGAATTGAACCTGCCATTCCACCACCATCCTCTTTGTGGTTTCGCTCTTCGACTGTAGCTGAGAGCCGTTGGACTTAAGGCCTAAAGATCTTTTTGCCTTGCCGGCTAGTCCTTTTCATTGGATTTGTTTAACTTGTGAACTAACCAGGGAAACATGAAAAATTACTCCGCTATGCGGAAACGAATATCCTATGGATAGGTCACAATCTGGACAGGTGAAGGTTAACCCAAGTGTTGAAGAGAAGATGAAGATTCCAGAAACAAGCAATTCATGGGAAATGAAGAAGGGAATCTTGGGTAACAGGGGACTGAAACTTGATATGACTGATTAGAGAAGGACAGGTACGCTGATTGGGTGAAAGACTGGGAGTTGATTGGAGCAGGGGGTGAATTTAGTGGGGTATTCACCGTAGTAGTAGCGAGAGGTAGACAAAATTCCGAAGATGGGTTAAGGTTTACAAATGATCGGTCAATGGGTGAGAGTCACGGCGTCGCGCTAGTTTTTCTCGCCTACTGTCTAGAAGTGGGAGATGTATAAAAGGAGCAGCATTCCATAGTGGAGTGGATCTGGGAAAAATTTGGGCAGGGGGAAATATGTTGGAAGTTTTTCAAGCGGATGGGACCTCGCCGGAAGGGTGGGGAACGGAAGGGATAAGATATGGTCCAGGCGAACACAAGTACGGTACAAAGTAGGGAAGATACCATGCGTACCAGGAGGCCGAAAAATGTTTAGCGACCGTAGGCATCAAAGAACAGCTGTACTTTAAATGCTAAGTAACGGAAAATAGCTCGGAGCTGCAGGATAGAGTGGATGGAAGTTCGGGGAAAATGGTGGGTTTAAAGCAAAATGTTGGGTAAATGTTCCACCCTGGTTTTGGCGAGTGAGTTCAGGTGTCCACTGTAATCAGGAACGGGAGAACAGGGATTGCTTGTGCGATATTCCTGAAGAATCAACTTATGGTAGGTTTACCGAACGGTTGATGGGCCCATGACTGGTGTACATTTCTTCAACCTTCTCGATCATAGTAGGACAGAGGTTGTGAGTAATTGTATGGTGCGAACGAGATGATGTTCATAAATCCCTCTTCCAATAACACGAAGACACGGAACCATTCGGTTGATGAGGGTTTGTTCGTATAAACTAGGGCACTCTGTTCTTAGAGACATTCGTTAGGTCCTCAGCTGAGGTCCTGGGATCGTTGGAGATGCATCAATTCCGAGAATAGAAGACGAAGAATCTGGTAGGTTTATTCATATACCTGTTCAAACGTATGGCTTGACTAATATTGCAGGATGGTGGCGAAGATGAGTGGGGTGGCGATGCAACGTGGATGTCCGAAATCGTCGGAGGAATACACGTGCACAAAAGCCACATTATGACGGAGGTAACAAGCATTCACGTTCACATGACTCTCACTTGGACAATCCTCCTGTTCTAGTGCAATTATTCCGGTGAGTCCACACCAAATGGGAGACTCTGTTTGGGTGAGACTTGGCAGGAATTTTATGCATACCCTGCCCATCTCTTACAAAAGCACAACAACATAGCCAGTTCCTTAAGCAGGAGCTTTCATCACTCATATCGTTTTAGATCGCGAATTCGGTCTTATGATATAGTCTCAATGCCCATCTCTACTCAGATACGCATTCACAGCCCCGTCAAAAATCCCATCCGTCGTCCAATCCTCCTGTCTAGTGCAATTATTCCGGTGAGTCCACACCAAATGGGAGACTCTGTTTGGGTGAGACTTGGCAGGAATTTTATGCATACCCTGCCCATCTCTTACAAAAGCACAACAACATAGCCAGTTCCTTAAGCAGGAGCTTTCATCACTCATATCGTTTTAGATCGCGAATTCGGTCTTATGATATAGTCTCAATGCCCATCTCTACTCAGATACGCATTCACAGCCCCGTCAAAAATCCCATCCGTCGTCCAACCCTTCAGTCGTATATTGATGCCTATTCACTATCAGCGACAACTGTCACCGGTTCATTGACGAAGTCTGAACGGTTGGCACAAACTTCTCACACTCCAGTCATTTCTGCCGGTTTCATCAACCACGTGTTTGATACAGATGACCTGGAGGATGTTTACGACAGTTTATTGGATAATCGCGGACTTGACGGGTCCAGTGCGAATGATGATCCGACCCACAATATAAACAGAAGCAGCAATGTGTCAAATGATGATCCATGTTACAATGAACCGGCCTTGCGTGAACTGGTCACCCGGGACCCGTTGTATGAGTTGTCCGAACAGGAAAAGACCGAATTATGGCAAGGACGATTCTTCTGTCTGAAACAACTGCCCGAAGCACTACCGTTTCTCACTCAGTCCGTATGCTGGCATTGTCGTGTCAATTTGATGGAGTTCTACGACTTGCTCCGACAATGGCCTCGACCATTGAGTGTGCCTGTCGCGCTGCAGCTGCTTGGTGCAATGGGTCTGAATGCCAGTGCGTCAATCGAATCCGCGGCGATGTTTAGTTCCACCACGGGGAATGGGCAACGTGGCGGAGCTAGTGGTGTAGCGGATGCCTATGTGCGTGAGCTGGCTGTGGACAGTTTATATCACATCACTGATTCGGAACTGGCTGACTATCTGCTACAGCTTGTTCAGGTTAGCATGGTCCTTTTACTTTTCGGTTTCATTCGTAATTCAGTTTGATTCTTGTTGAAGATGGAAACACGACCAACATTGACCCGAACGAGCCGCTTGTCAACAATTTGGCCATTGTGTCAAGGGCTAGTTTTTTTCTCTCCGTGGAATGTGGTTGTCTTAGTCATGGAGAACTGAACGTTGTCACCATGAAATCTACCGAAGATCTTGCCCGTTGGTGCTTAAAGCCATCCTTCCTTAATTATTATTTGCCCGTGTATTGAATAGACTTTTCTGGGCTTAAACCATCTGTTTATGAAAGTCCACTAACATAACTCAGCTTTTAGTTGTTTAGAATGGCTTACGGTTTGATGCTGAACACACAGAAGATCCGCTGCACAATTATTAGATTAGACGTGGCTTGCCTATACTTTCCAACAAACATAAGCTGGTGAGATTCAATGGAATTCATTTGTGAACGTCGCACTGATCTGGTGCTGAGTTCCATCTGTACTTTCTTCTGGGGATCTACGACAATGAGGCTACGAATGACTAGTCACTAGCCTACCTAAGTTTATTAATCCAACGCTACGAGACGTTGTAGCTACCCTTTCGCCACATACATGATTGTACGGGTCATCGCCACTCGCTGGACCATGAGAACTATTTTTTTTCTTGCACTCAAATCACTCCACACAACCGCGACCCATTTGACTACACAGCTCACAGTCAGGCCCTCGTTCCCAAGACTCGTCCTGCCGCCACTACACATACAATTTACGGCCCACAAAGGTGACTCA